CAGACCCTGCTGCGGTCCCTGCTGGAGTCCCACGAAATCCCCTCCCTCATCCTTTGGGGCCCTCCGGGCTGCGGGAAGGTGAGTGGCGCCGCCGGGCCCCGCCGCCGCTGCTCCCGCCCTTCCCTGGACCCGGCCCAGGTTCACCCCGCTTGGCTCGGGTGGGGTGTTCAGGCCCCTCTCGGTCTCACGAGGCTTTTGAGGCTGATGAACTTCAAGGGTGGGACCGGTTTGTTTTTCTGAATCCACTCTTTCTTTTCCTTTCTTCTTGGCTTCTGGGATGTCCGTGTGTTGGGTGATACCTGCAAGTTTTCACTTCGATTACAAAAACACAGCCTGCCCTTTGAATAAAATAGAAATAGCTCACCCCTACCAACCCAACTGCCCACAGCTTGCACCTTGCTTACACACACCCTTGTTTGTTTCACATAATTTAGATTTGGTAAACTCCAAAGCTGTTAACTAAAACACAGAATCTGAGAAGCTTAAAAACAGCAACAAAACAGAGTGTAATGATGTCTAGAAAATGGGTGAAATACCGGCATATTGCTAGTGCAGGGTTGGCTTTAGCGCACAAATTCTGGCTCCTGACAGAAAGCAGCTCAGGTGTCGAAGGGAGCTGACATTGTGGCCAGGGACTCATCCACCTATGAACAAACCCAAACTAAACTGGAACTGATCAATCTTTGCAGGTTCTGACAGCTGCAGCTCTTGTTCTGTCTTTTTCAAGATACCAGGGGCTGAGCTGGTGAATCCCAAAAGGCAGTGTGATTACAGTGCAGCAGTGAAGGGATGCACAGCTGCAGTGAGGGAAGAACCAAATGAATGCCTGGGGGTCTGGTCAGAAGGGAGCACTGAAAGATCTTGCCTTCCTTTTGTCCTTTTTCTTTATATTCCAGATTTGCCAGGGGGCAAAGCTATGCGAGCCAAATACATGGTTATTTCTGTCAGCCTGATGTTTGCACAGCACTAGATTTTGCATATTATATGTATAGATAGATGGTTATGCGTGGGAGTACGTGTTGGAAATCTGGGATGGGTAAAATAACTAATGAATTAATGCTTGCAGAGATGTTTAGGACAGAGCAACAGCTTGCTCTTCTCAGCATACTTACTTGAAGATAAAAAGAGGCTTGATATGGATGGTATTTGAATAATAATGCTGGTTAATCACAGTTAATAAGGAGCAGGCATGAGAGTAATTGATTGATGAATACTGTTAGCACTGATGCCAACAGGTTGTTTAGGCTAGATAGCAAACACCTGAAAGGAAGCAGCTGGTGAACTTAAATAATTGCCACTTTCTTTAGTAACAAGGTAATAACGGAAAGAGAGACATCCAACGAGAGGAGGTAAAGAAGCGCTATTTCTAAAAATTTATTATGGGGAGGTGGATTGACTGAAGATAAGCAGAGAAAGAAGTGGAATTGAATTCTTTAGGAAAGAGGAATCTACCTTATTGAATGAGTAACATGTTCAGGGCCCTGCTTCTGTATTTATTTGTGCTCTTCTGCCTTTGGTTTATTTTTACATGTGCCAACAGTGTCTGCTTGCTCTTTCTCAAAGCCCTTTTTCCTTAGAAAAAAATGCTGTTGCAAAGGCAGTGGTAACAAAGCAAAGGCCACATACATTATCTGGAAATTAGAACTTAATTCAGTGGCCTCTGGGTTGTGGTCTGTGGAACCCACATTTTTGGCTATGGAAATGCTTTTTTATGAGCTTGTGAAATCTTGTGCTTGTATTTCAGGTATTGTTTAGGAACCTTCAGTACTAAGACTGTCTTTGAATAACAGGTGATCCGTTGCATGTCTGTAATAACACAACTTTCAGTCTCCTTTCTCATGACCTGTTTTCCTCACCTATGTGTTTTATGTGGAGTTGTATTTAGTAAGTTTGCTTCTCACAGAGTGTAAGTTCTGCTACTCATTAGTCATGTGAACTGACTCAAGACTGTACCTTTTGCCTCATCAAGGAACAGTTCCACAGTTTATCCGTTACATTTTCTTTCTCCAGGTACGTAAGCTGTTGGGTAGCTCATCTCCTGTCTGGGTTACTCCTTCTCAACAAACAGTTTTGATGCTATGTGCTTTCAGCTAGCTTTTGATCCATTTCTGGCTGAACCAGAAATTCCTACTACAACAAGTTGAATTATTCCCCTCGTCTGTGCTTATATATATATATATTTCTAGGATGGTGCTAGTTATAGTTTCATCTCAGGCCTTCTTCCCCATAAATCTTATTGTCTGTCTCGGGTAAGTGGCTGAAAGTTCTGTCCTTTACTTGGATTTTTTTTTAATTAAATTTCTGTGCTTACAGATTCAACAGGCATGGCAAAATAGTCCACCTAAAGATGGAAAAAGAAGTCTGTGCCTGCCTGCCTCATTCACTTACCGTTTGGGTTGTATGTATAGAACATGTCTAAGAAAACATTTGTGAGGAAGTAACCTGAAACAGGTAGACAATGGGCAGATGAAAAGGAAGCCTGTTTCTCTTTTTTTATTTGCAAAAACGTGTGACTTAGTGCTTGAAACTTGAAAGATCTGTGAAGGAGAAATAAGTATTCTCACTGCCTCAGGACCTGACTGGACTGATAATCAAAAGCCTCTTCTGTTAATTACAGTCTGTTTCAGTGGGAAAATTAGTAAGAAATAATTGCACTTTATGATAAACTTCAAATGCAACAAGCCCATGTGCTAATCTTCCACCAAAGAAAATAGCCTTACATTAGAGGGTAGGTGCTACAGTAGGAGTATTATTGGATATATTGGTCTAAATTCAGAAGTGCTGTGAAGGATAGTCATAGACTCCTTAAACCTCTTCATACTCCAGCTGCGTGTGCAATCTGCTTATTGCAGCCCATCTGTGCTTTCTTCCATTTCTGCAGCCAAATGCCACGCTAACCAGTGCTGCTTTTGAAAAGGGTTGAGTCAGACTAAGTAAAAAAAAAAAAACACAAAACAAACAAGCTGGAGATGGAATTAATTGTTGGAGCCAAATTTCAAATGAATTTAAATATAATTTATAAATTGGGACCTTTATGAGTAGTAGTAGTTTAACAGACCTTGTCAGAGCAAGAAGAGAAAAATCATGGCTATTAAATTGCTCTAAATGTAGTATCTCATATTGTAGCTCAGGCATATTATTGGGGAATTTTTATAATGAAAGTAATAAAGCTGGGTACCTGAGTAAAAATACATGTGCTTTGCGCTGCTCTGGCTGAGTTGATTTCAGCCTCAGCTGCACTTGAATATTCAGGGAAGCACAGTCAAAATTAAGAAGACAAAATTAGGGTACTTGTGTTGTAGGTTTATTTTCTTTTGAGTTTCCATCTGTATTGAGTCTTCTTATTTTAAGGTAGTGTGATCTTTGTACTTTTAATTTATCATCCTAATTTCTTAGGAAGCCAAGGTGCTCTAGGTTAAAGGCTTTGACTCTGTTTTTGTTTTTACTTTTGTCACTATTTAGGGTTGAACACAAGAACATATCTTTTGCTTTTAAGAAGCTGACCAGACACAGGCTAGAAGAAGCAGCACTGCCTCAAAGAGATGCCATGGTTATTAACTTAGGAACAGTTAGCTTGTTCATCCTGACTATGCAGATTTTTAAGTGTGTATGAATCCTAGTGTAATGTGAGTAAGCTGTACTGTGATTTATGACACCTTAATACAGGGATTTAGTTTTTTGCTTGTCTCTCATGGGGCACCAATTTTAGTAAAGAGTTAGCGGGGGGATACCGCGTAACTTGAGCACTGAATAATTTTGCTACCACAGATACAGTTTAAGCCTTATAAACCTGAACAGTCTATATTTAAATAAGGTAAACATTCCCTCTTATGTTTGCTGTTTAACAAGAAAAAATGTAGGCAACAAGTGTGTGGAACCTGCTCCCTACAAAAGATAAGACAGAGAACGTTCATGTGTGTTTTTCTGGGATCCATAACTGCAAGTTTCTATCCAATCTCCACTGAGTTTATATTTTATTTCTAGCACTCCCTTGTATTTCTTTTCTTTGTTTTTATTCAAGACTTTGCTATATGACACGTTGAAACACACAACAGCAAGTCCAACTTAAGTATTATGCTCCCCACATGTTTATTGTCTCTTTCCTCCAGTGTTTTCTATTTTTCTAATTCAAGTGATTGCTAACATGGCTACTTGATTACTTGAGTATATTTCATCTTCTCTTATTCATACTGTTTGGGGCCTGCTTTGAACTGTTTGAAGTAATGAGTTCTTTTGATTGATTGCCATGAGATTTTTGACTGAAAATGCACGATGTCTTTTAGAGCAGTTTAGAGTGAAAGTCCAGAACACCTCTGAAAAATGGGTTTGTCTTTGCAGTTGCCTGGGAGAAGTCTTCAAATACATTGTGCTTGGTTTTGCTTATGCCAATCTAAATCAGGAATAACTTAAGGTAGCTCTCTAGGAAGAGGAAACTGGAAGAGAAAATACAATTATATTTGTAAAGCAATTGGAATATCAGGAGACAAATCTGGATGCAGCAAACAGAGGCACACCTCCATTTCAGTCAACATTATGCAATGACCTTGCCTCTGTTTATGCTTGGTCTGCCTTGGATTCTGGAAGTGCTGTAAACCACATGCTGTGGCTGTTGTGTCAGTGACACATTACTCCTCCAGTAGCTTCACAGTGGGTTATTTGAGGTGTGAGCAACCAAACAAGATGGGTAAGAATAGCATCTGCCCTTATATAAAGGCCAACTGGTGCCACTTTTGATTGCATTGATCTCTATAGACTGTCCCTGAGCCATGTTCATCTGCTGGGCTGCCAGTTTCCTCTGGATGCAGGACGGCTTGTTGTCTGTGACACAGTGTGGTAGCTTGGGGTCAGCTCAGCGGTGTTGGATAGGACAGACCCCAGGTTTTTAAGCTGCATCCCAGAGAACTGCTCCCCTGGTTGGCATCCAAGGATGATGCTGGCACTGTTGGTGTCTCGCTCAGGGCTGTGAAACAGAGCGTGGCCTTTCTTGTCAACCACAGCCTGGCCCTGCTGCCCTCAAACGGGGCTGAAGGTGGGGGGGCGCCGGGGGGTGTTGATGGCAACCCCATGTGAGCAAAGGTATGGAAATCCTGGCCAGAATAAAGGAAGAAGCAAAAATAAAGGGAAAGTCATGGTCAGAGGGCAGCACAAAAAAAGCAGGATGCCAGTTCAGAACTCTGATAATGTAATTTAGACCCTGCATGTCTATAGGTATAGTTAGCCTGTTGGGCTTGAGTCTTGCACTAGGCTGTCAGTCGTTTGTCATCCCTACTGCAAAGATAATTCACACTCTGGCTTGCTCTGGAATAAACCAGCAAAATTCCTCGGTGGGTAAGCCTAGATGCCATCTAGATTATCCCTGCTCAGGAATAATCCATGCTGTAGTCTATACAATAGTGCCTGTCTGTGCCAGATCTGGTTTGGTCACCTAAACATGGCCTAGCAGACCATACAACCTTCCAGACTTCTTGGGAGAAGTGTCAACCATAACTGTCAACCATAGGCAGATCCCTAAACGAGGTCTGCCTGGTCTTCCACAAGAGTGAGGTAAGAATGACCTTAGTTTTCACAGTCAACTTGACAAAACTTCTTGACAATGATCTGACCATATATGTTAATCTCTTCCCACTTTTTTCAGTTTCACTTTCTGAAGAGAGGTGGGCAGTACTACTCTTTATTCCTGGAAGGGGCTTTGATGAGCTAATGCAGTGGGCAAAGTTTAATGACCTGTTAAAGGGATGCAAAAATGAAAAGACCACCTGACTTCTGAGCTGGTAACGTTAGTCATTGAACATCAGCATCAATTGGATGGACTTAATTTGTACTTGCTTTTTACAGTTTTCTTGCAGCCATGGGTGTGCAATTGCATTGACTAAGGGCAGCACCAAGGATGGGGAAATAGGTTACATTGGGAGAGATTTGCCCAGTCAGGGAAGCTTGTAGATGTACAGAAAATTCTTACCTCTCAGTACAAACTTCTGACTAACCAAAACAGCAAGTCTGATTGACTTAATCTGTTCTGACAGTCAGAGGTGTGCTTGACTCTAAGGTTACTTTTATTTCATCCATAACTCATAAAAACCTGGAAGAAGCAATCACAGAATTTCCACGTTTCAGAATGGCTGCTTACGATGGCACTTCTTCAGTCTGTCTAAACAGATAAGTTGGTAAACTCTTGCCATTTTTAGCGTAAAAGTTGAGATGATAGATGTGATTTTGGATAGTTTGGTGGGATAATGGAAGAGAACTGAGAATGATTTCCAGAAGAGGCAAGGGTATTGTACTGTGAGCTTTGTAAGGTGTAATTCTGAGTGAAGTTAGCAAAAAGTTAGTTTTCAGGATCACTCCTGTTTTTGTTGATATAAATACCACTTGATTTACAGGAAACAGTATGTCCGCTCCTCTCCATAAGGAAAAAAATATGATCTAAATAAGAAACACCTGTATAATAAAAGGAGCAGAATATCAACTTGTTTGATTTCCTTTCCCTGCTTGTTATGCTGGTTCTGGTACAGACATATTCCTATTAAATTGCAACATCAGTGTCAACTATTTTAAAAGACTTTTTTCCTAATATAGCAATCAAACTTCAAAATTTATTTCAGATAATGAAGGATATTCAGTGTGTTTTCTTCCCCCTTATTCCATATAGGATTTTAAATTTTCTTCTTATCCCTCAAATGCATTGCCCCTGAATTTAGTGAGAAGAACTAGGGGTTTAGCATGCTGGTTCCAGTTCTTCTGTGCTAATACCTTCATTCTTAGTCTACCCTGCTGAAGTGAAGTCTCTACTGAGATACATGTTCCCTAGGTTGTAACCTGATAGTAACAGAGGGAGAAAACAATATTAACATGTTACTGACTTTTGCTTGAGGTGGTATGAGGAAAAGCAACGTAAAAAATTGAGCTCATGGGGAAATAAGAGGCTTTCAGAGGAATGGGGAAAGTGATGGGCACTTTGACTTGCTAAATGATTGATTGTGCAGAACAGAAGGAAGAGGCCATGAATGTGCCTGTCCCTGTCCAGCGCTGCTTTTGAAATGCAACGTATGTTATTCTTATTACGACCTTTGTTGACCCAGAAGTTGGCAGAATGAGAGAGATATGTGCTGGCTGAGAGTTGTGCAGCAATTTTCAGGTAGATTCTTGGTCTAATAGTAACTTTCAAACAAATCTCTTCATATTTTTTTTTCCTAAATTAGGAGGGAAAATACAGAGTCCTGTATGTGTATTTAAAAACAATTCCTCCCTGCTTTTTTTAAACAACAAAAGTATCTATGTGAAGATTGTATGTCAGATTTGACTGACATAAAAATGCAGGGGCTCCGCCTCCTTTTGGCTAATGAGTATCATTTTCTTTACTCGTATTTAAATGTCTTGCAAAAATGTGGCAGCTTTGACTCTCAGTTTTCACTACAGGGTGTGCTGATTGATCAAAAGAAAAAAATATTCACCCTACGTGTAGAAAAGCAGCGATCTCTGCAGTCTTCTAATACATTGATTTAGTCATGTTCTTAGACTTGCAGTGACCATAACAAGTCTGTTCATCGCTGTGGCCCAGTGAAGGAGGGTCAGGATATGCAGTATCAGCTACCAGTTTAAGTGGAGCTACAATAAGAATACCCACTACCCACTTGATTTTTTTCCCCTTTTTTTTCTCTCTCACCACTGCTACTTTTAGAGAAGGATAGAAGTATATTTTTCCTTTTCCATCCTGAGACTTGATGTATTGAGGGTTTCTATGCTTTCAGTCATTCTTTTTTTTTTTTTTTTTAATTTAAGGCATGGGTGCATCCTCTGAAGGTACATTTTGTAAGGAAACAGCATCTTTGGTTTTATTTTGTTACCTTAGTTTCAAAGATAGTTTTGCTTTTGTTTTTAGGTCTCCCAGATCTTCCTGATTTCTGTAGGCTTTGCTGTGAAGACTTCCCAGCATGTCTTTCCAGTCTTATCTTCTTCAGCAGTCCAAGGAGGGAAAGGGTCTGGTGCTTTGAGCTCCAGGGGGTGAGAGCGGATCTGGCATGGGATGTGAGTCTTGTATCAGGACATGAAATCACACTTCTGAAGACAATCAGGAAGCCTTTACTAAAACTAAAGCAAGGATAAATAGTGATACATCCTCCCCCTTAGCCTTCCCTTTCTAGCTTGGGCTGGTTGCCATTTGAGGGACAAGGAGATCCATTACAGAGACAGAATATACTGTTAGGGCAGTGAAGGAGGTCCTGCCAACACCCCTGGTAGCTGTGTGGTAGGTGGTTGCTTCTGCAGCCTGCCTGCAAGAGGATCAGGTTGGCAGCACCTGCTGCATTAACCTCTGTACTTGGAATATCTTCTGAAGCGGTTTTGTCAGCACCTGTCCTGCTCCTCAGCTGTTGAGGCTTTCCTGTCTTCGGTCTCCTTGGGCTTCTTGTTTAATGGAAGAGTGAGCTTGATGGAAGAATCGTCTGTTTTTTCTCTAGCAGGACTTTAAAATAGAGATACACTCCTCTTGGGATATGCAGATACACTTGCCTTTACTAAAGGTTGTGATGGAAAGTCTGAAAATTATGCCTGTGATGTGTTCAGGTGTGGTGAATCTGGCTGGGAAGTGGTAGCAGAGGTTGCTGCTGTGCTTTAGCAGGCTCAGGTGAAATTCCCTATAAATAAATTCTGATTTGAAGGAGTTGTCTATAAGGGAAGAAAAACGACAGAGCTGCTCACTAGAACCAGCCAACAGTTTGTTCAGTCAGCTGCCTTTTACTTCCCTGGCCCAGCATTTGATTGCTGTTGACTATTTAGATTTAAAGAGTTACATTTTTTTTAAGTATGCATATAGCTTTTCAGTACTTAACATTCTCATGCTTTTGTAGAGAACTACTTTCTGATTAATTTAATTTTTATGTGCAGTGGAACTAGAAAAGGCTTTAATTAACAATGTTGTAGCTTTTTATTTCTTAAATGTGATTTCACTGTAAACCCTTCTGTAGGTGTCTCGGGGTAGTCCAGCTCTTTATCCATTAAGATACTGTACAAAAGAACTGCGTAGTGAATTGCAGTCAGCCGGTCTTCTGTGACAGAAATGTATTTGGCAAAGAGTTTTTCTTCTGTGGTAAAGGAGACAGCTGGTCATTGGTGGCCTTTTCAGTATTGCAGCTGAGTAGGCCTGGTACGTAAAAGTGCAAGCATTAGAAATGCAGTGGTGGAATTGGCAGCTACCTCTAGCAGGAAGTTTTGAAGTCTTCTGTGTGCTAGAGTAGCATGAACTAAAATATCTTACTCTGTAAACTGTCAACACTGTCCCTATGTCCAGAATATATAGTTTGTTCTTTACATATTTCTTTCAAATGAGTACTTTCTGTGTCCAAAACTACTTTTACAAAGCTTTCTCCTATTGCTCTTTCAGACTACACTGGCACACATCATAGCCAACAGCAGCAAAAAGAATGGCACGAGGTTTGTGACACTGTCGGCCACAAGTGCCAAGACAAATGATGTTCGAGATGTCATCAGCCAAGCCCAGAATGAAAAAAGACTCTTCAAGAGAAAAACCATCCTCTTTATTGATGAGATCCATCGTTTCAATAAATCTCAGCAGGTATTGTACTATGCTGCTTTTTGGGAAAAAACCTTTGTCGGCACTTCTGTAAGATTTCCCACTTTGCTTTAAGATGATAGCTTACTTTGGGCTTTTGACTTTAATGTTGATGGTTTTAGTAGATGAATTGGGAAAAAACAGAAAAAACTAAATACCATAACTAACTTCCAATCAATGTTTAATTATTGTGATTCAAAGATTTAAATAAAAGGCTGAGCTATATTTATAGTTGACCTATGTGCTGGGCTTTATATGACATTTTTCTGAAATTTTATTTCTGCAAAGTCATGTTGGTAATGTTTCCCGTACATATCTTCATTTCAGCCTCCTCCCTGGGGATAGCATTCTGCATTACCTTTAGAAAGGTCTAGAATGTGGATGTGCCTAAGGTGTGCGTTTGTTTTAATGTTGTCCCTTCTCTTCTGGGAGAAAAGAGACCATAGTACCATTTAAAAAAAAAAAAAAAAGGAAAAGACTATAGTCATACCATGGAAAGCTTGAATTCTGTACTACAGGTTGCAGTTTCTATATCAAACTGCAATGTCCAATGTACTCCAATGTCCCTGTACTTTTCTGAGCCATCCTATAGAATTATGTAGGGAACTGTAGCCCTAAGTTTGTTTCAAAGAGTGTTTAGAAGTAGCCTCACTATTTGTTATACTTGATAAGGTGATTTCATGATATCTTATGTTTGCCAAGCAATAAATCAAAGTCACATAAGTAAACTAAAAATTTGCAGATTTTTGACGCTGTTTCTATTCAGCTGGTAGGGTCATTCTCGGTGCAAACATGAGTTATTAAGGTGAACAGCCCATAACACGCTGTGTGTGTCAAATCATTTAGATAGCTGAGCAGATGAGCTGCTTTCAGTGAGGTTATTTGTCATATCAACAGGGAACCCAGAGACTCACAAGACACAAAAACCGTAGTCTACTCACACGGGGTGTTTCAGGTTGTCATTGATCGAGATCAGCTTTTTCTGCTTCCCTCCCATCTTCAGGACACTTTCCTTCCTCACGTCGAGTGTGGGACGGTGACCCTGATAGGAGCAACCACAGAAAACCCTTCCTTCCAAGTCAACGCCGCTCTCCTGAGCCGATGCCGGGTGATCGTCCTGGAGAAGCTGTCAGTTGAGGCGATGGAGGCAATTCTGATGCGGGCTGTCAGGTCCTTAGGGGTCCAGGTTTTGGGACAAGGCGACGAGCACAGCAGCTCTGCAACTGGCAGCAGCAGGGAGAGCTCGGAGTGAGTACTTTATGGGCTGCAGGGTGTTAACGCACAACAGCCTGAGGAGTTGACTGCCTGCCAGGGAGAGAATGGAGCAGTAGGGGGGTGGGAGGAGAAACCCTAGCCACTTCTGATAGTAAAGAAAAGAAGTGGCAGCATATGGCAGGGGTGGGGGGTGACAGGAGAGAGAGAGAATTCAAAGCACTGGCTCTCCATCCAAAACAGAATCTCACCGTCTGGATTAGGTGAGACTTTTATACTTGGATCAGTAGCTCCTGACTCACCCTCACAGGATATTTAAATCCATTCTGCTGCTGAGAATTTGCTGTGGAAGCCTGTAACTGGGTCTTTGTTATGTCCTAATGTGTGTTACTTCTTGCTACTGGTTTTAAAAGCATTGCGTTGCCATTAAGTGGTGGATGGGGTATCCTCTGTTAAATTAGTTTGGAAGTGGCTGACAAAAGTGGTTTGGTTTTTGGGGTTTTTTCTGAGAATTTTTTTTTAATAAGATCAGGGGGGATACTACTGTTCTCTAGTTGCAGGATAAGTGTTGTGATATATTTTATTGTATGCTGTGGGGAAAGGGGGCTGTTGCTGTGGGGTGTTAATAGATTGTTTTAAGATAGATTTTGTTTTTCTCTGCTCCTTGTTGTCCAAGCTCGAAAGGATAATTTTAAACATTTGGGAGACTTTTGGAAAAAATAAGGTCCAGATTTGTCCATATGGGATGTTATCTGTCTTCTGAAATGGCTAGCTGGCAAATAAGAATAGTGCTTGGTACTGCACTACGTTCAAGCAAGTTACTACAGTTCCTTCACGTTAATGCTTGTCTGTACTCCTAGTAATTTATAGTGCATTGACATGAAGGCAATTGGGCAGGCAGTCTGTGTGAAATAAATGGGAGGGGATCCACTTGTCCTGTAGCTTTATCACAGAATGTGAGCAGTAAGAAGTGCTAACCTGAACACCGGGGTCAGGGCAGGGAAGGAAAGCTATTCCCTTTTTATTTTTAGGGTATCCTGCCTCATGCTTTACTCATTTGTAGCTTTTGCATATAGCAGTGATGTGAATTTTAGCAGAGAGGGCACGTCAGCGTTAATGTAACGGCACAGCTGTGGTTGTGGCTACACCCCGGCTGGGGTTTGCAGACTTTCCTTTCTGTGCAGGATTAAAGTACAAGGCATAGTTTCAGCTGCAGTTGTTTGGGTTTGGGTTTCGCTAGACTCTCCGTATCTGTAACCTTCTTTTAGCTGTGGATGATTTAAACAGCATGGTGGGGGTGCTTCGTCAAACTGAAAGAAGACTGGCAGGCAGACTGTCAGACTAGCACAGTTTCAGAAATCTCCCCGTGGAGAGAGGGGGGCCCACTCCAATGGCTAACGTGGGAGCAAAGCATTTAAAAATAAAATTGGGGTTCAGAATTTAGGGCATTTGTTGCAGTTGTGTCTTTCCTACCACTATCTGGTTCTGGTCTGTAGTTGATACATACTGTTGCTAATGAGTTTGGCTGTTTATAAACAATCTTGTCCCTTACTGCAGTTCTGGTTTCCTTGTTAATTCCTTTTTTGCTTCACTGTCCATACCATTTCTGCTTGTCTTTTACCTCTTCACCTCCCTGCCTCTATGAAGCAGGGCTGTCATTAGATGCAGGCAGGTTAACAGTGTTCATGTTGTCCTGATGAATAAATGAAAGTCAGCAATTACAGTTGAATTGGTTGTTGACTGTGCTCATCTTTGTTCCATAGTTGGAAAAGGAGCTGTAAGGCCCCAATGTGGGGCATGCCCACTTTGAAAATGTTGCAGAGATCTAGCCAGAAGGCACAAGAGGTGTGTATATTGAATTTTGGATTTCATTTCCCATGTGTGTCTCCCTTCCCAAACCACAGCAGTGTAGTATGCAGTCCTGCATGTGCTGCTTGGCCTCAGTTTATCAGATGGTCTTGGTATCGCATCACTTGTTTGCCCTGATGGCTGACCTAGATGAGATTCTGAAGAGGATGATTCATTGTGGTCTCTCCTATTACATTGAGGAAGAAGGTGAGGATGAATCTTCCTTGGTCTCTACAGGCATCTTCTGGGGTCAATGAGAATGCAGCCATTGCTGAGAGATTCAGTAGGTTTCACCATCTCTGCACTCCATAGACATGCAGCACTTGTCAAAAGGAAAGTGTGCTCTACCTGAATCTGTTTCCTTAAATTTTCATGATGGCTTTTTCTTAATCTTGCTTCCACTGTTGCTGCAGGTTTCTGATACAGTTAGGTCACCTGGCTTCTCTTTTATCCCACTGTGGCCTCTTCTTGCTGTAAAGCTGAAATAGAACTAGCAGGTGGCGTTACCTACTTCAGTGTTTTTTTGTTATATTATCACGTTCCTAAAGCTTCTTTGACAGTTTTTTATTAGTTACTGGATTTCTTTAGGGTAAGATGTGCTTTGTATTATATTTTCATCAACTTTACTGCCATCAAATTCTGCCTCTTAAAGTCTGCAGGAAATTAAGCTGAAAGATAGGGAAATATGAGAGGAAAAAACATACTCATGAAGAAGAAAAGTAAGAAGTCCATGTTAAAGACGCTTTATATTGGTGAAACTTTCCTTGTGCTTTCTGCAGTTTGCACTGTCTCAGTAATAGCACAAACTGCTCCAGGTGTACACTGATACACTAGTACTGTGTCAGTGCTGGAGGAAATAAAATTCTTCTTTTCTTGGCTTTTAATTTTTATCATTCAAGTGCTTCCCTCGGAGTGGTGTCTCTAATTGAAGTCAGACAGTAAACTGGATGGTGGATTAATGTATTTGAAGTTAGATAGCACGGAAGGTGCACAGCTGAGGGAAATGAGAGGATCCCTGGTGTCCTGTTGGCAAGCCCAGACATCATGCAGTTCAGCTTGTTAGTGGCTGTATTACAAGTACTGACAGGTTTTGAATTCACTGGTTTGTAAATCACAGCATTGAAGATGGGCTTCCTTTGGGTCTTCAGTGTTCAATACCTTTTTGAAAATAAGTCCCTTTTTGGAACATCCATGCAATTTCCTTGCAGGAAATAGTCACTGGGATGAGAGGTGACATTCACAGACAGTGTTGTAAGGCACTGAGCAGTGCATATCATACTGCAGGATTTCAGATGAAGAACTGTGTTTGCCTGTAGAAGTGATGCAATCTGCCAAGGACTGAGGGTACTTCAATTAAGTAACAAGTGACAGGACAAGAGGAAATGGCCTCAAGTTGCACCAAGGGCAGTTTAGATTGGGTGTGAGGAAGAATTTCTCTCCTGAAAGGGTTCTCAGGCATTGGAAGGGGTTGCCCAGGGCAGTGGTGGAGTCGCCATCTCAGGAGGTATTTGAGAGTTGTGTAGAACAGTGCTGAGGGACATGGGTTAGTTGGGGACCTGTCAGCGTGAGGTTAATGATTGGACTTGATGAGCTTAAAGGTCTTTTCCAGTCTGGGCAATTCTGTGATTCTGTGAGAATAGTTGCATCAAGAAAGTAAGAAAGTACTAATTTATATGGGAAAGAAGCAATGAGTACTTTATCTCATGTTCTACTCAGTTATTTTTAAATCTTTCATCACACAAGTTCTCCTTGCTTGGATTTCCTTATATTTACAGTCTGGTATTGCTTACACCCTCTTCTTGTGGGATCAAATGCTGTGCTGTTGTACAGGTTTTATGGGTAGTTCATCATACGTTTCATGTTAGTTCTTAGCACAAACTATCTTGAGGTTTGGAGTTAAGAAGGAATCGGAAGAAGGATTTATTATCCTGTAGTGGTAGTTTTCCATTTCTGAAGCTAGTATATCACCTTTGAGCTCAGTGACTGATGGATCGCAGGGCATCCATTTTAGCTTGTTTATGTTTTTGTCTCCAAGTATCATCAGTTACAAGGTACCAACATGGAGCATTGGCATCCAGTGGGTGTTTGGTGTTAATTTTGGAGAGTGAAAAAAAAAATACGAGATTGCCTATCTGCAAGAGGATCAGGAGCTTGGGAAGAGGTCAGGAAGCATGGGAGTTATTTTGCCTTGCAGTTCTAGGGTGTGGAGGAGTCAGGTAAAATGGAAGGGCGTAGGGCACTTGAGCTTCTGAAGACAGTGATGGGCTTAAGAATGTGAAATATAGCAAGTGTCTTCTGGAAGTCAAGATATTAAAATACTTGTCATCCTGATTTTGAAATGAGGCTTCTGCCTAGTGAAGTTAAATCATCAGACAAATGGAGTTTAAGGTTTTAATTCCTCAGAAAAAAATAACTGAATGCAGTTAGGTCTGAGTATAAAATACTGTTTTTAAATACTGAGTGTGAATGGAGCTGAGATTATGGAACAAGGGAGCATTATGTTATTTCCAATCAGTGATTCTCATCAATATGCTGTGCCAACAGCTGATATGTGGAAACTTTCTCTGTTTAGTCTTGTTCTTTATCATGTCCTGTACGTCATGTAATTGCTGTAGACGTGGACTGGATCAGCCTAATACATAATACAGTATTCGGAGCAGAATTTCCATCACCAGTATGTTGTAACTTGGATTTCACCATGGAAATGCACAAGACCTTTGATTGTAACTAGATTTTCCATACTTCCTTGTGCATATTTGTTTCAATTCCTGTAATGCTAATTGCTTGTGTTGAGTCAACAGGGCACGTAGAGTCCTATAGTGAAACTGAAGAGACAGGAATACAACTTGGATTTCTTGCCCAGCTTCTCATTAGCAAATAAATGGCAGAAGTGCTCTGAGGCCTCAACTTTGTTTAGAACAGACAGAAGTTCTTAGCTTCTTGCATTGTGGTACCTGCCTTTTAGTGCTCTCAGCACTTCCTCTTTTTACAGTTGCTGAGTCCCGTGGTGGGTATCAGTGTGAGGAGGCCACAAGTGCCTGGTGTTCTTCTCTGCAAACAGCAGACAAAAAGCTTAGTCCTTGCAGGTGAAACCTTATCTTCAGTCAGCCCTGCTGGTGTATCCAAAGTGTTTGCTCAGTGTGCAGCAGATCTGGTTTTGTTCCCTGTTAATGGAGGTATTAGCAGATGGACATCTGTGTGTATTTTTTAAAAAATAGCTTTTACTTTCTTTGCTGGCTTCTTTCACTGCTTATAGAAAAATCTGGTGCCCATCTGTAGTGCTGAGGGGTGAACATTGATTTTTCAAGGAGTCTGATGCATGAGATACTTGACTGAGTAAGTCCCTGTGCTGTTATATTCTGCTTCCCTGTTCAAGCACAAAGGTGTTTGAAGCACCTTGGAGAAAGTGCAGTTATTTTGGAGTTCCATTGTGCATGCATGTTGGTTTGTTTTTTTTTTCCTAGCTTTATCAAATACATGAGAAATACATAGATGGAAATAAAAATATGACAAGATGCATATACCGATATAGAGAGATTTATTTTTCCCACAGGATGTGATTCCCTAATATTCTGTGATATCTGCTGCCTGCTCTCTGCAGCGTGGGTTATGGCCCTAGAAGACATTTGTCAGCCTTCACTTGCAGTGTTGTTGATTAAGATTGCAGCTCTACAAGCTTTTCTCTCTCACACGTGGGTGTGAGAGGGCTCAAATACTGACTGTTGAAGTTTTTCCAGTACCTACTGTCTTTTACTTTTGTGTCACAAATGCAAAGTGGGTTTGCAAGGAAGAAGAGGAGGCAAGTGATGAAGATTAGTAGATATGTGTGTCTGGGAACCCTGGCATTGCTTTTTTGTATACCACTGGTAATAACAGTAATAAATCTTCCTGGTGAGTGAAGTGCAGGGCTGTTGTGAATCCTTAATTATTTGACACACAAGGGCTTCATAAGAAATTGCCTCTCACACCAAGGTCTGTGTCACTATTATGTCACTCCTGACTTTCAGTCCAGGTACTGGAAATGGCTAAGTTAGGGCCATTACTTATGCCAAGCTTTACCTGCTGTTTCCAAATCCGATCAGTTGTACCCTCTGCCTGATGAACACCTTCGCCATTACCTTGTCTATACAACTGAAGTTTGAGGGTCAAATCCTCAACAGCAGGCATATGAAATGTGCAGAGGTGAATTGGTTTGCGTATGTCCCAACAGTGGGGACTGCAGCCCAGCTGATGAGAACCTGGAGAAAGAGCTGGAGGACTTTGTTACTTTCCCAGATTTTTCATAGACCTGCTGTGAGGTTTCAGCAGATCTGTTGCTGCATTTCTCAAATCTTCCCGTCTCGTTCACTTAGATCATGTGTTCGCTGGAGTTTGACCATTTTAATGTGTTTGTGTAGTCCTGGCACACTTGAAGTAGTGGATGGCAAAAACAGTGACTTGCATGCGCTGGGATGCATTTTCTTTCTACTAAGATGTTTTTTGCACCCCAGTGACCAAGTTGTAATACATGTTACAATTTAAAAAAAAAAAAAAGGCAGGATGCTTTACAATGTAAACAGTCCTTCCAATTGTTGCTTTTCAAAGAACACCTGATAGCAGCTCTTGCTGTCAGTAGTTAGTTTCAGACCTCATGCTAATGACTTTATACCTCACTATATTCTCTCACGTGCATTTGGATGGCTTCCTACCTTTTCATTGTCCTTTCAGCAGGGAATCTGAAGTGCTAGCTATGGAATGCTAATGGAGTTAAAACCTTGTAAAGTTCAACTGGCTGTGCCAGCATTGTACTCTGACACAACTCCAACCCCTAGTTTCCATTGAACTTAATGAGGTGAGGAAAAATTAGGGGGTTAAAATGAGAGCTCATGCCCTACCTTTTTCATGTGCAACTGTATTTAACATGCATTGGGGCAGGAGGAGGAGGGGTTTGAGTCCCACAGTGGACTTTGCAATGCTTAATCATGACAGAAAGAGTTAAGAACAATACTTATACCCATCTGCCTTTCAAACTTTGTAAACAAATGTCGTCTCTAGGGTGATACACAAGAAGAGGAGCCTGATGGGGGCTAACAGTATGGGGTTATTTTGTTTCAGGTTCCCTGTTTACATAGAGGAGAAAGCTCTGAATAGCCTTGCCTACCTCTGCGACGGTGATGCAAGGACAGGACTGAATGGGCTCCAGCTAGCAGTTCAGGCCAGGTTAGCAGTGGGGAAGACCACTCCTTTGAATATTACCAAAGGTGGTTCTACAGATGGCATTCTGATAACAGAAGAGCACGTCAAGGAAGGGCTACAGCGATCTCACATCCTGTATGATCGAGCAGGTGAGTACCTGATACAATTTCTGAGTTGCAGCATTCTAAAGAGCCAATAACCTCTATGAATTCTGTTTCTTCTCCCCTTTTCATACCAGTTGCTCTGGTGAAACAGTGATTGTACTGAAATTTGACCTAACAGCTACTTTTCCTTTACAGTGTAGCAGGCTCACCCAGAAATTCCGTTAAACAGGATTTCTTCTTACCACTTAGGAAGTGTAGGTTAGCTGAGAGTCATATTTGCTATCCTGCAAACAGTTGCATGGTGAAATTATTTATTCTTATATTATCTTTACACTACATCTTGCAGTGTAAAGAGAGAGGCGTATTTTGATGAGGACGTTTGTTCTTGGAGGGTTGGAAATCTTCCATTGCACTTTTACTCCTTTGAAAGTCTTGGAAATGTTCACATTCACAACAACTTGTTATGTGAAAGCATGAGCAGTTGGCTTTATTTTTAGAATTGCTTTTTAGGGTAATGAATTTTGTAGCTTGCTTTAGGGCAGGTCACATAAATCTAATTGTGTTTAAGGCTTCCTAATGTCATAACCACTCTTGCTAAATTAGTGATTTGTCATGTTAGACGTCACAGTAGTTGGCCACTATAAGTTTGTACATGAGAGGTTTACAAATCAAAGAGTGAGTATTAAGAGTTTAGGTGAATCCCCTTGAAGGCATGTGCTAGTTCTTCAGCAATGCTCGAATGACTGAGCAGCGTAGTGTCGAACGGTTATGCCAAGCAGTGTTTGGAGAAGTGATTTATTCTTGTTTTGCCACTGTATCTGATATGCTTAATTAACTGTCACTACTCAAAACCTGTGATGAGAGATTTCTCAAGGTTGGTTGTAACATATATGCCTGCTTCCAGCCTTCTTGCTGCAAAGAGGAAACGATGGCTCATTGTCAGGAAAAAGTCAGCTGAGCAGATATTGATATGGTGGCAGCTGAGAAGTCGAGGGTAGGCAGAGATAGGGAGAAGAAAAATCTTATGGGGTCTGTGGCGGGAAGAAGTCATGATTAGGAGGAAGTGGAAAATCTGACAAGTTTACTGATGTGAGTCTCTTGCACCGTGTAGGTCTCTTGTGTGTTTGCTGTCGCCTTGTGGCCACTGTCACGCAAAACTCTTGGCTGTGTCCGTTGCTCCCAGCCCTCCTACGCCTCCTTGCTCTGTTGGAGGTGGCACAGAGTGCCTCTTCCCGATGCTTACATCGGGTCTAGGTAGCATGTGTCAGCCCCTTCATAACAGAAACCCTTTGAGCTCTGTGTAGGTTTTGGGGGTTTTTTTTTTGTCAGAGATTTTCAGAGAGGGGTGAAAGTGGTGAAAATTCTATTTTTCTTGATTTTACGAATGCCAGAGAGCCTGCCACAGGTATTGTCACAATAGCAGGTTGCCCGAGTACGTGCGTTTACAAAATTTCTCTCTTATGTGGAGTAGTCTGTGTCTCAGTTGACCCCTTTTGTCCATAGCAGAAATAGATGTTTGTCCTTTTATGTACAAAGAGCTTCTGGATAGAGGCTACCATATAAATAAAGATATTTTTGTAGCATGTTTTAGTCAATACTTTTTGAATTACAGTTGTGGTGATGGAATCTACAATTCTCTAATACGAAGTACTTCTGCCTTATAAAGTGGAAGGACATGGTGCTGTCTAATCCTGGTAGCAACAACATAGATAGGAGTGTAGTGTATTCATGTAGAAAGCATTAAATAGTTGATTAGTGTTCAGAGTCGTGTAAATATGGAATTTTGATTTTTGCATAACTTTTTTTTTTGGTCACCTTCCACAAAATTTGCCAAATATATGTAGCTGGGCGTTCTTTTATGTACTTTCACCAAGTAATCTAGGAAGGAAATTATTCATAGTAAGTCATTAGGCTATTGTTCTGATCTGTGCACAGATGTGTGAAGGCAAGATTTTTGTGCAGATAATCTATGCATTTTAGCAGGAAGGACAAAGAAACAGCTCTAGTCGAATTTCACTGCTAGCAGCCACCTACAGCCCATGCAGTGTGAGAGGAAACAAACTGTTTAGTCATATTTTAGCTTTTAATTGCAGGTTGTTTTTTTTTTTGTTTTTTTTGAGAAAATGATGTAGCAACCAGATTAATTAAAGTTTAACTGCACATGGACAGTGAATAGATTTTTAAGATAGAATTTTGTTGTCTCTTCTTCCTCTTGTGTATTGTGTCTCTGTGCTAACACTGATTTAATAGAAAATACTGAAGATAAATATCAGAATAATTGCAGGATTTTGTCTTGCTGTCTATGTGGCAGCATCACTTCAGTTATGGTAAAGACTGGGAATATGTTAAACTGAAGTTAATTTATGCTTTAATCTGCAACATGGTTGTTCCTTCCTCTTCTATTGAGGAGGAAAGAGAAGGTGTCTCATGCCATAATGTTTTTTGACAGCTTTATTGTTTTCTGATGGAGCAGAATGAGAAGTCTTTTTATCCCTGCTCTTGTTCCAGTCTTTATTCTAAGGCTTTTGTCTGTCCTTTTTCAATGAGCAGTTAATGTTTACCTTTGGCTAAGATAGAAAAGAATGTGAAATGGGGACTGTGATCTTACTTTTGACTGCTACCTTATAAATAGGGATTGCTTAAGAAGTCCAGATATTAATTATGATCAGTGAATGAGGCCTGTTCTCTGTCTTCTACCTATAAGACAAATCAACATCTTAAATTATCTAGAAAACTCTTCTTGAGCACATAAAGCAATTTAGGGGCATAAATCAAGAAGATTTATGCATCTGTATACATTAGGTGCTAGAAAATCCTGTCCTCCACAAAGCCTCTTGTGCAGTATCTTGTGTCCCTTCAGAAAGGTATTTGCCTTTGTGGGAGCTGCAGAAAGCAAATGTATTTTGATCCCAAAAACTCTAAAAGAGTTTTGATTTCAAGAGGCATTTGGGATGCAGAACAGCAGCGATAAGTAAGTCAGTTATGTGTGTCTGTCTCTCAACTGAATTGATAAGGCCAAAATCTATATGTTGGCTAACCAGCCTGAGAGACAGAGCTAACAAATAAAAGTCTGTAAAAAGTTCTGTCTAATTTTTTTTTAAGCTGCTTCTGGTATCTCACATAGAATAAATGCAAACCATGTTTTTTACAAAGAAACATAAAACCTCTTTGTCTACTGTATGTAACTGTGCTTTGCCTTTAATTCAAACTGCATTTAAAAAACAACTGCACAGTTTTTCTGAGAAGTCCAAGTCTGGAGTGTAAGTATTGTCATTACGTTGATGACTCAGTCACTAACGTTAACTTGGTGAGGAGGGAGATAAAGGGAGAAAACTGTTCCCTTTCTCAGTGTGCCACTCTGTAGTCCCCTGCAGGTATGTATCTCAAGTCCCAGCCCATCTGCTGGGTTCCTTCTGCCTGTCCAGCTGGTATCCCCAGGTGTGACAGTTTACAGTAGCCCAAACACTAGATAAAAGCACTCCATCAAAAAAATCTGGGCAAGTGCAACCTCTGGAGATATTTAAAGTCCATCTTCCTTACTTTTAAGAGACCCAGAGACGCCTCTTGAAGAGGATGATGCGAGTTCAGCTGCTTGGGTTTATTGGTACTAACTGGAGTGTTACGACAGCGCACGGACACGCTGTTTGTATTGGCACGAGTAACGACTGCATACCGCAGGGCTCTTTGTGTGGAGTCCTAGCAAAAATAGCTGTCTGCTCTGAGCGTGTGCTGAATTCCCCACAGAACCACACTGCAGCAGCATGGGAGGATGGACCCAGTTTCTGACCTAGGAGGCGGTGGTCTTGCTGGCTATGAAAGGAGGAATTGCAGCGTTGTGGGGCCTTTGGTTTTCAAACTTGCGTGTGGCCTTTTATTTCACAGGGCCTACAAGCAACAGTGATATGTTTTGACACGGCCTTCGGCTGTAAATCCTTTAACCATAGGAAGAAGAGAAGTATTAACAGATGGCTGTGCATGCAGCCAGTTGTCTTTATAATGCACACTTAGTTGTGAGACAAGGAATGCCAGGCACTTAAAAAAAATAAAAAAGGCAGATACATGGAAAGTTTAACAATAATATTGCAGAAAAATACTCTTACAAGTTTTATTAAAAGAAATGCATAAGAATCGAAAACAGATGCACGGAGAGAAATTGCAAGCAGGAAGGGTCTCATTCAGTGTTTGTAATGTTGGCCCTCTGTTTTTACATGTAGCCCTAAAAGATTTGTGGAATGGCTTTGTTTCTCCTTGGAGTCCATATCCATTCTTATATTAAACTTTTTAATGTTAAAAAAAATTTCCTTGTAATTCATTCAGTCTTCCTACTCCTTATTTAGCAGTCTGGCATTTCAGATTTTTTTTGTGGATTTTTTTGTTTCAGCTGCTTACAGTTTTCAGGACCCTTCCAGTAGTGCAGGTGTCCACAACTGAACTCAGTATTTCTTAGGGGTTTGCCAGGGTTGTGGGCCGAGATCCTGTTTTCCTCTGGATTGTGTAATTTGCCATCATTGTATATCCATAGCAATGTTTCCTTTTTTTTTTCCCCTCTATATAATACAGCAAACTTGTGTTTGATTTGCTGCACACTTTATTTTCAAGTTTTAGCTTATGTGATTTTTTTTTAATATCACTAGTGTATAGTACTGGATTTCTCTGATCATTCTGTTGTTTTCTCAGAGCTGTGTGCATGTCCAAAAGCAGCAGTCAGTGGTTTGTATGTGCTTGTACTTTGTCAGTTAGGAGATATATAGCGTCTTCTTCCTAACTGCTTAAAATAGATGTATTTTTTCTTTAGAAGGAAAGGTGGTTAGGGTAGCAAAACCAGATTGTTTACTCTGCAATGTTTAAAAAAATGCACTATTTCTCATCTGCAGTTGCTCTGTTATGCTTATGTAGTTAGTGGAATGATCCATTTGGCAACACATGAAGATGTTGCAAACGTTAATGAACGCCATAATCACAAATACATTAAAAAGAACTTGAAAAAGCAGGTTATGTTTACCTGCTGTGATCTAGTAAAATATATATTATATTCCCTTATATATAATGTATATTATGTTCCCTTAAATGCATTTCACTTAATTTCCTCCTAACAGCTTTGCGTGTCTCTTCATTCTAAATAGGAGAAGAACATTACAATTGCATCTCTGCCCTGCATAAGTCTATGAGAGGCTCAGATGAAAATGCTTCCCTTTACTGGCTTGCTCGAATGCTTGAAGGTGGTGAGGATCCACTCTATGTGGCAAGGAGGCTGGTGAGGTTTGCAAGTGAAGATATAGGTCAGTATTTGCAGTATTTCATGTTGGAATATGATGTTGAATGAGGATCTGCCAGGCTTCTGGTTTCCAAAAATTGGCATTTGAGGAAAAAAACAACCGCAAAACTGCTCTATGCAGAATAGGTACAAAATACTGAAATCCTCCACATCCAACAAAAGCTTTGTATATGCAGACAGAGACCTACATGTGGTGTCATTGTGATGATTACCTATTGCAGCAGAAACAAATATTTTTGAGGTCAGGTTTTGGCAGTGTATTAATATGGATTCTTTTAAACTCTAGTGATTGTAGGTCACCAGTAATCTCGTGTGACAGAGAATGTGTGTTGGGGATGTCTGTTTTTTTTAATTACTCTGGAAGATGAATGCCTACTCTGAGTTGCAAACATCAGATTTGATAACTGGCTCTCTGGTTGCAAGGCATCCTGACTGATTTATCCGAAGTAACAGATGCAGCAACAATTTTGGCATGTATCTGGTGGGTGAAGAGTTATGAGATCAGAGAAAGCTATGTCTGTGTAGCAGTATTTCCCTATTTATTTCTCAATTCCAAAAAGTAAGTGAATCATACATGGGCAGCTACTGCTGCAGCTGCCACAGTGAGGCAACTGTCTGAAAATCATACCCACGATTTAGACCTTTCTATTTTGGAAGGGACAGAAGAAGGAAGGCTTCTGGATGGAAGTAGTATAGCTTAGGTACTGAAAATTATTATAGCAGAAGTTCCAACATCTGAGAAAGCAACTTTGAAATGTGTATGGATAACCTTCAATTTTACAGGAGGGGATAAAAAATGGAAATAAAAAAGTGACAGTAACTAGAGTAAACTCACTTTAACCTGCTCTCATCTGATCCCTTTTTCTAGGGCTTGCAGATCCTCTGGCTTTAACACAAGCAGTTGCTGCTTATCAAGGCTGCCACTTTATTGGAATGCCAGAATGTGAGGTAAAGGCTTTATTAATTCACTGATTTGAAAGTACTGCAAACTGTAAAACCTATTTAATTATCAAAAGAAACAGAGGTTGCGAGGACGAGGCAAATTTAGTTAGTTGTACGTTCAGCATGCCTGTTCTTTGACAAGTAAGAGAACATCGTGGCTCTTAAAATAGATGTAATTTGAAATAAAATTCACTGCATTTGTTAAAATGTGCTATGTGAACTAACGTCATGTAGCTCTGTCCTTTTCATTGTTGCTATTATAGGTAAAATAATATATTCTGATATTCTAAAGTAGGTATTGCTTTCTAGTAGTGAAAATCATGCAGAGCTGTGTTGGTGTTAAATAGTAATATTCATACTATAGTAGCAGGCAGAGGTCAGTTAAAAAACATAATCCCTCTCATGCTACACAAACAACCTGAATAACAGACCTTTTCCCAAAGAGCTTAGAAGAAGTCATTTAATCTTTTCCCTTTTCTTGTTTCCAGGTCATTCTAGCACAATGTGTGGTGTACTTTGCCAGAGCACCAAAGTCTATAGAGGTATACAGGGCATATAACAATGTCAAAGAATGTCTGAGGACGCACACGGGACCTCTGCCGCCTGTCCCACTGCACCTGAGAAACGCCCCAACGAGGCTCATGAAGAACTTGGGCTATGGGAAAGGTTATAAATATAACCCCATGTACAAGGAACCTGTAGAGCAGGACTATCTACCAGAAGAGTTGAAAGGAACAGACTTCTTCAAGGAACGAAAAACGTGACTGCCTTGCTCGGGATGGGTTTTGGTTTTATGACTTACGTAGTTGTACTGGGATGGAAATTCCCTTTGCAGTTTCAGCTGTCTCTTACTGTGGTTGAAAGTATTAAGCCACTGAGCCTTTCAGATACTTTCTTATCCTTCTGGTTTTACTGCTGTTATTCTGAAGGTGTTTTGTAAAGAACTGCAGTTAGGTGGTGTAGAAATGCAGAAATAAGCTTTATCATATAATGCTGTCACCCTCTGGTTCAAGTGAAATGGAGAAAAAATGAGACTTGTATTTCTGGCTCATGCTGTGAGACAGGGAATATTATTGTGCTGCTTTTTAAAATCAATACCTGTTTCAGATTTTGAGGATGTTTATTTTCTAGAAAAATAGTAAATTGTACCGCCTTTGCTAAAATACGGTAAGCAAAATATAATTACAGTGTAATTCTTGCTCTTATGATGTTACAGAGTCTAACTTTGTATAACAACATTTATTAAACCAATAAAGTTGTTAAATATAATGTCTATGCATTTGTTTAAATATTCTTATGACAACAGTGTGGTTTTGAAGGTTTGAGGTTCCTTTATCATCCCTACTTTCCAGAGCAAGTTTAAATCATTTTGGAAGTAGAATAGCCATGAAAGTAGATGAATTGTGTTAGTTTTTGAAGTTGTATCACTTAAAATTTTTATTATGTGATGATATTTTGGGAAGTGCTTTTGGAAAGATTTGTGGTAATGAAACACACTCATATATTTCCAGTTGTGCTTCAGGAATTTCAACAGCTTTGAATTGGAGAGCAGAGAGACGCAAATTGACTTCCTGCTGTTATAATAGAGAGTTTGGCTTCCTCTTTCTACTGAAAACATATCCACATCCAAGATTGCTGTTGACTGAACATTTCAGTAAGGTCATGGCAGTGTCACTGATGTTGACAACATTCTTTCACTCAAGTGCTGATTATTTTTCTTCTCTTCAATCCTTCTTAAGAGTGTGGTGGTCCAGTGTGCTGAAAAGCCAGCAACTGCTAAAACAGCATATGTCTCTGCTAACTAGCAGTTTGGTAGCAGATGAGGACTGTGTTTGGCTAGAATTACAGCAGATAATTAGCAAAGAGGAGTTTCATTACTGAAATGCTGAGGAACCAGTGGGGCAACTGTCCACACTTACTGAAGTGCCATGGAGTAATCTGGCCACCAGTGATGAGGATGTATGTTTTGACTGGAAATTATCACCTACACGGTAGCGCAGCACAGTTACAACTGGATTTGCTTGGTAAGTACTCGGGATTTGCTTGCTGTGTTCCCCATATACCTTTGTTACTGGGCCTGTACTGGTTACCTGATGGACTTCAGGGATTCCTGTCCTGATCCTGTTTAGTTTATAAAATGTGATGAGGTCAAGCACTTAGTGCTTTCTGCAGAGCTTCTGATCTCTTTGCTGTTCAACTCAGAATGCTATTGTCCTGCTAAAAGAAGGAGGTGGCTATGCTGACTTCCCTGAGAGGTGTCAGAAGGTTACTAACTCTCCTCCACAAGGACTACTTACCACTGATTTTTATTCTTTTTTTTTTTAATAATACCAAATAATTTGGGTTTTTTCTGATGTGTTGTGTTGGCTGAACAATGCTGCTCCATTTCACATTTACAGTATTGCATTGAACAGGTTTTAAAATCTGGTATTTGACTACATAAATATTTCCTTTTTGGGCAAAGGAAGAAAACTGGTTTGCACTGAAGCCATACTGAGCTCTGCACCTCCCTCAAGCTGTACATGTGATACAACCCAGCAATCTGCTGGGCAGCCACCTGGGATACACAAAGTATTTCTTGACAGCAGAGGTACTTGGTACTGTAGAGAGCTTGGATCAGGGGGGATGCCACAACTGCACATCCAGAGTTCATTCAGAGTAACTAAAAGACAGGAGGTCTCTGGTCTGAGGATGTGGTTCCAAGTCAGGAAGCCAAATTTAACTGTCCTGGAGCAGGAAATTCAGCTGATGACTCTTTATGTTTCAAGATAGATTGCTGGACCTTGGCCTTGATTAAGAGTTTTCAATATACAACCTGCAAAACCTTATGTTAACAGTTCATAGAGAAACTTTCTCGTTACTGTTTTCTCTTGACCAAAGGATATTTGTATTGGAGATTAATTTTTCTGTAAGGCTCCCAGCTTGGTAGTTTTCATATTAAGTTCTTCTGCATGATGCAAACGGGACTTAGGCCAAGGATTGTGGTGTAACTGAAATGTTTTAGAAATTAAACTGCTTGCATGACTCTGCTGTTAGATGCTGTTAGAAGGTTTGAGTCAGATTCTTTAAACATTTCTGTGTTTCCCAAATAAGTACCTGTATTCTTCACAGCATGATGGTTTAGCATGGTAGGAGCTACTTCTCCAAGTTTGCTTCTGCCCTGTAGAGATACGTAGATAGATGGGAACAGAAATGAAAACCTGGATGATATTAATCCAAAATACTCTTGGCAAAATTACTTGTGCTATAAAGCAGTGTTCATTTTCATTCCTAAGACACAGAGAGTTGATGTAGATATTTCTTCAAATGGCCCGTTATTTGCAAGCTGACACCAGCTTGCAAAAAAAAAAATCAAATTGATGGATTGGTAAACTGAAAGATTTTTTTTTTTTGTCTTACACGTGTACAAGAAGTTGACTTGCTTCCCTTTGACACAACAGGTGGTTAGAAGTGTTGGGCTAGTGCAGTCTGAGGTATTTTTCCATTCTTATTTTCTTTTATTAGCAAAAACAATGGGATAACCTCATCAGGTTTTCTTTGTTCAGATCTAATTCAGTATGAAGTTTTACCCAAGGGAAGCCCCAGACTGTAGTTTCTTGCCTGAGATTGATAGAGATCTTGACTCAAAGCCTTAACATTCTACTTACAACTCTTCTTTTAGTTATTTGAGACTTAATCAAACTTCCCTTGTTACAACAAATTGTGTGCCAGATATTAGAGCAAAAGTTGCACAGAAGTTTTGCAGAACAATAATTGTGTGTTTTGCCCCGTATGCCTCTCTAGTACCCCCTGTTCTGGAGCAGCCTGGTGTATTCAAGGTGAACCTGACAACAATCCTCTGTGGTGGTCTGCACTCAGCAAAGATTTGGTGGAGTTCAGGTCTCTGTCTAAAGTCTGTGACTCTAGGGGCTACAGCAGAGATTATTTTATTCCTTGCAGTATCTCTTCTGAGTTGCTTGCAGGCCACTGCAAAATTGCAAACAGAGACAGTCTTTCTGCTGTGTTCTTAGTTCTCCCCTGTCTCTGTCCTGCAGGGAAAGTGCAGAGGAAGAAAATTGGCATTGCTGAGCTTGTGACTGAAATGAGGAAAATTAACATCTGCTGCTGCACAGAGAGAGTGAAAGTGAGGCACTAAGAAAGCCTGCAGGTAGGACAAAGTAATTTAAAAGCAGTTATTGACTGTAGCTGTTTGTCCCCTTAAATGTGGCCTAAAAATTTCTGCATTAATAGAAGTAAGAGCTGGAGGTGACAGGAAACTGCAACAGTGCAGTATTTTCTGTGCAACAAATACCTTGAGTTTCCAGTGGAAGATGATCTTGGGGGTGATACTTACTCATTTTCTGTAATCCATATGAATTGTGATTCAAGCAAAGACAGATTTTTCTGCCCTGGTCTGAATAGACTGGTTCTCCCTTTGTAAATACTTAGTGCTCCTTTCTCCCACCATCAGGCTCTAATAAGCACTTGTGCATTATCCATACAGTGATATCCTGCAAGTTTTCTCTGACTTGGCAGTTCTCCTTCTGTTATGTGGAAGGAGAGAAAGACCCAGAGCCCTGTGCAGAACCTGGATCTTTTCCTCATCTACTGCCTCACACCTCCATCTACAACGTGTGGCATGATACATAAATATTATTTTATAATGTCTTGTGATGTTAAGGAAAAACAATAAAGAATGTGTTAGTCCACACTCCCCTACCGATGATGAGACTATTCCTGTTCATGGAACAAATTGCAAATTCTCTAAAAACTGCAGGAAAAAAATGTTTAGGTCAGATATATCATGAAGGTAATAAATGAAGTACTTTGTATTAATAGGTTAGATACAACTTACATGGGTATGTGAGGATGGAGATGTAGGCATTGTCTTTACTGTAATTTTACAGACAAGTTATGCAATAATAGAAGTTGCAGAATATTGTTATATTAAGTACCCACAAGGGATCATTTTTTATTCTTCGTATTACAGAGAAAATACCATAACTAAAAGCTATAAACTGTAAACTGTGAAGTCTCTCAGCTGTTTAGTAGGGGCATTGTGTTTTACCTGGTAAAAAACAACTGAGATGGGTGAAATCTTAATAAGACTAAATTTTTTTAAAGTTAATAATGTCTATCTCATAATAAAGATTAACTGACTTTGGAAAAAAAACAGATAAGAACCTTCAGGGTAGTACTAGAATCATAAAATATCAGACACCAAAAATTGTACTTGAAGGGGAAGAATTTCTCACACTTTGTAAAACTTTTCCATGATCTTTCATGATGCAGTGTGTGATAGCCAGAAGATGATTACTCACAGAGCTCTGAGGTTAAATGCAAAGTGACTGACCAGGGTCGTACATGTACTAATGCAAGAAGTAAGGCTTTCCATATCTGTGAGGGCTTAGATATAACCATTTACATTCTGCAGCATGCATATGAGAAGTCATTGCCTAGAACAGAGGATATATTGCTTAGTTATAACCCGTTAGTGGGCTATAATTATTTTTTTCAAGACCAGTTCAACTCAAGGTTAAATTACTAACGAATGCTGAAGACCGTAACAAAAACCTGGGTTTATTTTGCTTTGCTGGGCTAGAATCTGGAGGACATAAAGTGCTGCTATTTGGGTCAGGTATTAGAGGACATTCCTGGTGCATGCTTATGGAGTATGCTAGGCAGGGGATTTAGTGTTGAAGAATACCAGCAAAGTGTGAAGACAGGTTTAGAATTACTAGTGAGATGTTTCATACTCTTATTCTTGGTAATGTTAGCTGTTATATATTTCAAGAAATTGAAACTACCAAGATAAATCAGCTGAAAAATATGTCACAACTGTTCTTTTCTGGGCTTGGACACACACTGACAGAGGTTTT